TCGTCTTCACTTATCATTTGAGCGAGGTATCTATCGGCTCCCTGCAATTGAAGACGAAGAATGTCAATGATAACCGGTAGATCAGCTGCCTAATAATATCGATATTCCATAGCATTCAATGCCTCCTTATCGATTAGCTCACAAAGAATGTACCCTAGGTATTCAAGCTCGTCAGTCTAAGTTGTCAATCGTGCTTGAGCTTCAAAAAAGGTCAATAGGCCTACTAACATCTTGATAGACAAGGTTTGGCACAATCTAGTGATTATTTTTTCAAGTCAAAACTTATGTAGCAGTCGTTGCCAGTGTAGGCAATGCGCTCGTCATGACTTTAGAGTGGCTTACATCTTAATAACGTTGACGATTGCTATGATAACAGATTACCGAACGTCTTGACTAGATAGTGCTGTAACACTAGTGCCCAAATATCTCAGATTCACTTGCTAGAATATACGCAAAATCTACAGTGATATTAAATTCGTCAGCTACAAAGCCCTACGGCGCACCGAGTTCCTTTGCCGTAATTTACGGTGACATACCGGAGATATATTGGTAAGTCTGGTCTAGCGGAAAGATATCCTGAAATAGGCTAGTACGTCTTTAGGTGGGACCTCGGGAGATTTAGCGTGAGAGATTGGAGGTAAGCTAGCTTAATTTCGAACATTACTATAACCACCGATCTAAACTCCCTAATCTCTAGGGACGGACTCATTTATATATATCCGAATACATAGATTGCAAGTAGACGCCATTAGTAACCTGCCCTTTAGTCGATGCCGACAACATAGTACATGAGGGGTAATATTGCTCAAGATCTGAGTACGTGGTAATATCTCTGGTACCGTAATGTCCTACACAACCCCGAGAGCCATATATAGACGCTTGAAAGCCTCGTCCTAGGGTTATTCTTGTTGTAAATGTGTAAATCCAAGTTTAGAATTATATCTGATTATACTAGGCTTTGAACTCACACATTCTTATCAGTTCCTATCTAATCTATATACTAGTGATACCGGAGAAATGGACATGATAGTATAATCAAACTGCGTCCTTAGCTAGACCGTCTACACAACCTAAATCTTACCCTAATCTTACCCTATGGCTGGTATTCCAATTCAACCATTTTGAAGCCCTAACCTAGATATCTTGCCACCTCATTGCGTAGTTTATCTCGTACGATCCCTGATGTGGACGCTGCAAAGCCGACACGTAGGTTAACCTTTACGACTAAGTTACTCAATTTTTTAACTTACCTATTACTAATGACTTGTCTTTTTTATCCCGTACAGCAGAAGGATTTTCAATCGCCTTCCTAAGAGCTTTATCGGAAATGAGTGCTGCATAATCAGGAGCACCCTCGTAGAGAGATACTTTTCCATGTCGGCCTAAACGGAGTTTCTCATAGATAGGAAACCCATGAGAAATATATATAGATATATTGAGAATCTACGTGATACATTGGAAAAAGAATATAACAAAGGCTCTGGCGATACTCACGTAGCCATTGTCTAGAACATCACTTCTTAATAGCGCGTTCAGCTGGCCAGTCCCGGATATCGCAAAGTCTGTTATATCAGATGAGCCGATTTTATTTATTAGTCGGAACAACTTACCTAGATTATCTACTTACCATATAAGGTGGATCTAACGGACATATGAAGTGCAAGTATTATACCCGTGAATCAACATTCTCACATAAGGAATCACCGTAGCAATGCCAGATCCGGTAGCCACCATCAGAACCCGTTCGTACTAGCTGACCGACTCGCTTATACCATGTGGACCGCTATAAAGGGCCAGAAACGATAGCGAGCCATGTCCCGCGGCTCTTGCTTACCGATGAATAGCGGCTGATAATCCTCGACGTGGCTCGATTAGAAGATCTAGAATAGGTTGCTTTTCATCGTGACTAGGAAGTAACCATAAATAGATGTGTCTATGCCCATGACCAAAGCCCCACGGAAGGTAGCCATAAGTTAATATACTAACCAGCCTTGACCTTTACTAGTTTTGGCAAAATAAGACGGACCGTTATCCGGTCGCAAATTACGCCGTTACCCTTGGGCTCTAATTCTTCTGTTTCTGATTCTTCTAGCTCTGGTTCTTTAGGAAGACATAATACAATTGCACGCGGACAATCATTTCCTGAAAATAGTCCGTTGCGATAAATAACCAGTATTATATGCACAAACAATGTGGCCAAAAAGATTCCTATTACAATATAGATATAGCAACGGGGGAATATATCTTCACTTAGAACATGTCGCTAAATTCTATATATACTCAAGACTACCAGAGCTTAGTGTGTGCGAATGAACAATTTATATAACCATTTTCGAAACAAAGGCACTGATAAGAAGGCTAGTAGACCCACACTTCCGGCAGCCTAGAAAAGGAGGGAATTAGGAAAGTTTAATCAAGAAAACTTAAGCTACTAGTTTCTCACAATAATAGTCGTAAGCCGCTGAGAACCATGCTTAGGAATAGTTATATCTCTCCTAAAGAAAGACTCTCCCACGTGGATTAATAGCAAGCCCGTACCTATCCAGCCAGATACGCGATAGATTCGTCGAAAATTCCTTAGGGATAACCTTAGAATATCAGCCAGCTGACTAAGATCTCCAGCGCCTAGGGGCAAAATAAAATTGATTAGGCTTAGAGTTCCTACTCGACGCCCGATGATTGCTAAGGACGTCCCTTTTAACAAAAGCATAACCGAGTTAACTATGATATAGACTATATAGAACAAGATAATTGCCTAGTTCCATAGCCTAATCAATAAGTGACGGCGAAGAACGTAGGGGTATATTAGATACCGGGCAATTATAACTTTAATTGGCCTACTCTATGATGCGACTAAATGCAAAATTCTAAAAAGGATAAAAAGTAGAAAAATACCGCCGATAGCAACAGCATATACGGTAGTCGTGTCCATATTCAACGAGTGTAGAATCAAGGATGAAAAATTGGTGAAATGCTAATCCGGAAGGGCCTTATGAGTAAGACAAATCGTAGATCTAATAAGAGGAACAAGGTTTAGGGGTCATTAAATCATATATTTATATCCGTCTTTCATTCAATAATAATCCTACGACCTACTCTAGGTTCCTAGTGCCTAGGTGGACCCAATTATATCGAGCGTGAAGACACAAAATAGAGCTATATACTAAAATACTATTTCCACGCCACGGTAGCTAGATTGCGCGCGGCACAAAATTTGTTCTGTAGCTAAACCTTAAGCGGGAATTTAGGTTACCAATGTATATTGCTAGCCACTTAGTTAGCTACTACCTACTATCTAGTCGGGTGAAACCGCTAAGAATTAGAGTTAAAAGCACTTATAAATAATGCTCTACTATATATCTTTTAAGTAGGTCCTAACGCTGGTCTAGGCAAATTAACTTTGGGTTTTGGAAGATAGATATCCTAGTTACTACTTCAAACCAGGATGGCGACACTAGTGTCGTAACTAGGGAATTAAAGCCCTCTCGGTATAGTGTCATTATATTCTACTTGCTAAAGTATGTCCTAATTTAAGTTAAGGCACGGGTTCCCATATTTATAATATCCATCGGTTAAGTACTTAACGAATTAGAAACTGGACCAAGCGGGTAGTGGATGGCTCGGTATTGGAAACTTTTTCGGGAACTTAGCGGTCCTAATCAGACGAAAGCATGTTGATACGGCGATTCAGACTTCTTCAACTTTATAGCTAACGTTTTATCTAAATATGGTAGGCCTAGTGGAAGCTTTCTTAGAGGACAACGTGTTCTACTTGATTTACAATTTCTATAGATTTACGGTTAATCTCGGTTAGGTTGCCACGAGCCCTAAAGTAAGACTGACTAAACCTAATCTCGTAAGTGTTTGCCGAAGTATTCTTAGAGGTCTTAAGTATATATATAACCGCTTAGGGATAAGTCATAGAAATATTAATAGAAGCAATATTTTGCTGTATGAAAATGGGGGCATCAAAATAGGTCAGTACTATCTGAATATATTCTGATTAGTCTCTGATTTGAACAGCAAATATTGGATGTAGCATGGTTAACGGCAATTCTGTGAAGTCACTAGGGATTGATCGCCAAAATATCGGAGTTATTTTGGTCGAAATAAGTGACCCTTATGCTATTCTTCACCCTTGTCGAATATAGAGTCCCAAAAATCTGTCAAAATATGCCAAGTATTTTATCAGTCAAATTGAGACTGCTTCCTATTCGTACTTATTCGAGGTATATTTAATAATCATAGGACGGATTTAACTACATACTAACCACTTTAAGCATTCATTCTTATAATAAGCGAATGCCGAGAGTCGGACCTAGTACTTAGTGACACACTATTTAGACACGATTGCGTGATAGGGTATCTCGACTTAACACATAGAGAATCTATTTGAGTGAAGCATATAGATATAATATATATTTGCTTTTGGACGATTTGCAGTTTGATCGCATAAAATCAATACATAGTCTTTTCGATCGAATATTAAATTATCCCTTAATGATAACTGTGCGCTATCTCGTTCCGATGTTCCTCCTTCAGTTTCTCTAGCTTTCTAAACTTATACACAATAAGGAGGCTAAGGGATGAGGCCACCGATACACCGGAAGCAATAACGGTTAGGAGCGCCATTATAGACCATTCACCGTGGTGTGCGGTGTATATATTGATTATTATTATAAGCAGACCTACCAAAGCATTTAATAACGTCGGTCTACGTTTAATAAGCCGATTTTCATATACTATAAGCCTGATCTAACTCACATAAAAAGGCGATTGGTGAGCCAAATATAGTTTCCTTTATACTCCGAAAATAACCAGCCGATAAGCACTAATCCTAGTACGAAAAATAAGCACGAAATTGCTAGGAGTGGAGGATTCTAGATAGTATTTAGAATAGCATTCCCCGCTACATTGTTTGCTAGATCGTCGCTTAGGGTATCCGACTTCTAAAGAGAAGTGAATATACCCGGTACGACGAGATATCCGGCAAGAAGGATCTAGTTAGCAGCGCTTGCGAGGACATTGTACTTCCAAGGAATCTCATCCGACTCAACAATCATTCGCATATAGCGGGTTTCAAGGGATTCGTAAGAAGTGACTTCTTCAGTTGTGTTAGGATAGGTCGAATTGCTGGCCATTTTCAGTTTTTTCGGACGAATCATGGTTTGTAAAGAAGCCGGAACCCCGCCTTTTATAAGTAGGCTAGGTTGCAGGACCAGAATCATGCCGCACTCCAAATAGTAAGACGAAGGCGGGGTCGCGCGGCTTTGCTAGGCCAACCACACTTAAGATATCTGTGATACAGGGCGATGATGATGAATTTTTCATTTAACCCGACCTCGCGCTAACGATATGCAGGCTACAACAACAATATACAGTACGTCCGGGAATCGGTGTCACCACCTACACTCTTTGATTGTTTCTCTAACCCTATTATCAAGATCCTTAGAAATTATTCGGAATATTGATATTCCCACAGGTTTGCAAATACAGTATTTTACAGGGATAAGCTACATTACACATGTCTCGTAAGTGTATAGGGTGCCAGAAGGTTCCATGGAAATGCAATCTGTCAAACCGAAAAAGCGAAAGTGGACCACGCGGATCTGGCAAACTGTCACTTTTCTCGTACCGCCCCAGCGACCAGTAGCAATCCGGGCACTTACTTTGAACCAGACATCACGGACTGTGATCTACAGTACTGTATCCTATAGCCCTAGGTCCTGCTGATCTACCTTGAACTGCTTGTTTTAAAGCACCTTGCCAAGTCTCATTATCGTTGGTCCCTCCGTTCTTCCATTCTTGCGGGATGTATATTTATGCCTGCCGCGATTCTCTATCTTGCCTCTACTATTCAGTTATGTGTGAAACATTGAGTTATTTTGGAATAATCTACAGCTAAAAGGCGCCTAGTTTCCCGCGCGTTGGATCTGATGCTGGAGAACAGGGTAAAACTAGCATTCTATTTCTCGTTATGCAGGCTATATACGTATATTTTTCGTAATGGTTATTGGTAGAGCTTTCTAAATTTTGTATTGGTATATAAGAGACGTGAAACCCTTTCAATCAGTTCGGGAAGAGAGACTAATATAAGCGAATCTCCTAGATTATATCTCGCTTGCATATTATCCCAATCTTTGATTGAAGCGCTTATATTTAGACAAACGTTAAAGCTCCTCTTTTCACGATATACTGATCCTATCGTCTTGATAGCTGAAGCTATAACTAGTTCTGCACCTAGCCGCTGCTAGAGGGTAGATAGATGGTATCGTATTGTCAAGATAGTAACATCTTGTCGCAAGATATAATGGAGCAGCCCTAGAACGTGAGGAGTGTATGCAGCGAGAATATCGAGTAAGGGTTAGCCTAATATGCAGAATTTTGTTTGGATGCAAAAGAGAGAAAGAATCAACAACCTGGTACTTGCCAAAACTAAGGTCGATCCGTCTTAGATAAGCATGAATTAAGGAGCCAACCGGATTCTATAAGGAATTCATTTGATTGAAAATTGATTGAATATCTGTTGTCTGTTCCACTGAGTCTATTATCGCTAGCGTTGCATCCAAAACTGGCGATAGTTTAGAGGCAATTTCAGGGAGAGCTCCCGGTTTGGATTCGTAAGTTGCCAAACAGTGAAGAAATTGGAGCGTATATTTGCAGACTCTCGAAGGTCACGTTCTACCCTCGCTGTCTCCAAGGGAGAAAAGAGAGCAGCGCTGGTTCACAAGGAAGTAAACAGTTGGAAGGCAGGCGCAGATAATCCCAACTGCAATTTCCGCACAGGTAACAAGATTAGTGCGTATGGTTGTCCATGTCTTATCAGCTGAGTTTTGATATGAAATCACCCATACCAGCCGGACAATGGTCACTATACACACTAGACCGCCTGCTGCCAGAATAGCAATAACTCTTAGCTTCTTCATAAGGGACAGGTGGAGCACTGAAATCAGTGCTATCGGCAGAGCGAAGATAATCAAATCGGTGATTACACTAAAAGTGGTGTCGGCGAGGAAGACCTTTAGCACATTGAGACACGTCCCATTAGTAGCTTCGGCACCGAGCCAAAAGGCATCAATAGGTTTGCAGATGCGGATCTTCACAACTAATGTTGCGATAGTATATGCTCCGAGTACCGCGCTGAATATATATATAAAAGCAACCCATTTCCGATATGGTGCGAATAATCGTGCGAGCATAAATAGAATCGATAATTTGACCGTGAGAATAACTGGGCCGTATAGGACATTTATTACATAAGAGGCCTTAGCAAGAAGTTTAGTAAATTCAAATTGTCTGTATACTGAGGCATTTCACCTACCTTGAAAAAAAGTACCATGTCATCCTTCGGGATATCCCATTGATGATATCCTCCACCTCCAGCTGCGGCTGAAGAGACAAAGGTCAATTTTCATTGTACCGAGATATATGTTCGGAAACGTACACACTAGATGAAGTGAAAACCAGGTCGTTGCTAGGATCTAAATGATTGCAGTCAGCATGATAACTTCAATAATGCACTGCTTTTATGAGTCAAGTCCTCGTACCCAAGATATTAAACACATCCCTAATCCAGTTAGTATATATAAATGTCAGACAATCCGGGCAGCTGCTTACAGTCCTCAACATAAAACACATGCTGTATGAATAGCTTGGCATACAGCCTCGTTATAACAAAGCATGCGACAATAGGGATGCATATACATTGTGCCACGATCAACCATAAGTGAATGCCCCCCGATGGATTACTGAAGTCCGGTATAACACCTGGCGGTGGGGGAGCAGCTGGCTCTTGTGACATGAGAATAGTCAAGATATTTGGTCAAGATATCATGCTGCCTCCAAAGTTAAGGGAGGCAAGGGGATTTCCCCCGAAACACTTGTTCAGCATTCAGCCTAGAGGAGCGCTAGAGGCAGACTGCTTCTGGGGTAAAGTCGGACAGCTATAGTACGTCATCAAAAGGTCATCAATAAATGCGTATCTAAAATAGAAGACTGTTTAACATAGTGACGTCAGCCAACAGCTTCAGCTATCTGGGAGGTGGTTAGTTCACCACTGCTTAGCATTCCGAATCAACTGGAGCGTTACATTTGGTTATGTCGGGAGCCATGGTTTGTTGCAGTACTAGTTTGAGTGATTGGTCGCCAATGAAGACACGGGCGTGAGAAGTGTCTGGACGTGGGGCACAGAGGTACAGCAGCTGCCCAGCTAAAACAGGTATTAAACACAGGCCCAGCTTATATAATTATCCGGTTTTTGACGATAACGTATTTCACATGCGAGTGGATCACACAACCGAGTGGATCAGCGACGCGAAAAACGCGTCATTAATTAGACCTTCCTTCTTTAACCACCCACCATGCCACCAATTCGTACTCAATCCTCTCGAAATTTAGTAGAGCAGGAGGGTAGGATCTTATTAGCTATCCAGGCTATTAAGAAGCAAGAAATTAGCTCTATACGCGAAGCATCACGTCATTTTGAAGTACCCTTCTCCTCTTTACGGAACCGGCTTAATGGCCTCACAAATCGCTCCGAAACTCGCCCAAATTACCAGAAATTGACAGAAATTGAGGAGGAATCTCTTCAAAAATGGATTCTCTCTATGGATTCTCGCGGAGCACCCCCTCGGCCCTCTTCTATACGAGAAATAGTAGATTTATTGCTCACGGCGCGTGGATCTACCCCGGTTATTTCGGTCGGTAAGAATTAGGTTATAAACTTCGTAAAAAGGCATCCAAATCTTTCCTCCCGATTCTCAAAAGGATACAATTACGAGCGTGCAAAGTGCGAAGACCCTAAAATTATCCACGAATGGTTTTCTCTCGTCCAAAAAACGATCCTTTCTTACGGTATCGATCCCGATGATATCTATAACTTTGACGAGACTAGATTCGCAATAGGCTTGATTGCGACCGCGAAGGTTATTACGAGGAGGGAATACTACGGTCGGCGACCGCTTTTATAGCCCGGAAATCGCGCGTAGGTGACTACAATTAAGTGTATAAATGCTTTAGGGTGGGCGCTTCCTCCGTGCGTGATTTTTAAGGGCAAAGTCTTTATCGAATCTTGGTTTAACGGCCTTCCGAATAATTGGAGACTCGAGGTTAGTCCGAACGGGTGGACGTCCGATAAAATTAGCGTTCGGTGGCTCGAAAAGCTCTTTATTCCGTCTACTTCTTCGCGTACGAAGGGGAAGTATAGACTTTTAATACTCGACGGCCACGGAAGTCATTTAACTCCGAAATTCGACGAAATTTACGAAAAGAACGATATTATTCCAATTTATATACCTCCGCATTCGTCTCACCTTTTATAGCCTCTCGATATCGGCTATTTTGCGGTGTTAAAACGTGCTTACGCTCGGATTATCGAATCGAAAACGCGTGCTAGAATCAATCATATTGATAAGCTAGACTTCCTCGAAGCCTACCCGTCCGCGCGAATTAAGGCATTTAAATCGGAGACTATTAAGACTAGCTTCGCCGCCGCCGGTTTAATGCCTTATAGCCCCGATCAAGTGATCTCAAAGCTCGATATTCGCCTTCAAACCCCGACACCCCCCTTAAGCTAGGGGAGTGAGTGGGATCCAAAAACGCCTTCGAACTACGTACAATTACAAAAGCAAGCTTCCTCAATTAAAGCTTTGCTAAAACAGCGCTCACAAAGCCCACCAAGCCCGCTTAACTCCGCGATAAATCAGGTTTTAAAGGCCTACCAAATTACGATGCAATCGGCAGCTTTGCTCGAGAAAGAAGTTAGCGAATTACGCGCTGCAAACGAGAAGAAGAAGCGAAAAAGGGCTCGGTCTAAAAGGCAAATAGCTTCCGAAGAAGGCCTCTCAGTTTTAGAGGCCTCTACATTAGCAATATAGCCGGAGCAAGCAATTATAGCACCAATACCCCGTGAGGCAGAATCGGCTCCGGCACCTTCACAACCACGTACGAGGGCCTTACCGAAGTGCAGTATATATGGAATTCAGGGTCATAAATTGACTACATGTCCTAATAGAAATCGTTTTTAGCTTATTGAATTTAATGGCGTTTTGGTTGAGATAAATGCATTTAAAATTGGGAGGTTGGGATAGCTGATCCACTCGGTTGTGTGATCCACTCGCATGTGAAATACGTTACAAGGCCTAAAACCGGGGGTGTTCTTGGATTATGCTAAAGTAATTTAGCGTTTCTTGGCATTGGGGTTTCTAGAAACAATGAAAGTGTGTAGATGGTGACACCGATTTTCGGAAGCACTGTATATCCTTGCACGTACATACTCCACTTCCTGAAAATGAACTTAGAGCCTCGTCAAAGCCTATCGTGGCTTAATTGCCATTTGCGTTATTAGGCTGCCCTCTTGGCGCGCAACTTCCTGTGATACAATAAACGGACCAGAGGATCTATCGCTTAGTAGGTGCCTCCTCGGCAGCAAGGAGATCATCCATTGATCCAAGCAGTTCCGCCCTTACTGCAAAGTATTCAAAAACGCGCTTCAACTCGGGTGATTTCGAAAATTCCGACCCAACTGTACCAAGTCTCCAATCGCGTGAATCCGTATCCGCCGAATCCGCAACCCCCGAATCCGCAACCCCCGAGTCCGCAACCCCCTCTATTAAGTCAGGGTTATCTCGGCTTAGCTTAGAATAGTGAAGCTCCTATAAGTCTGTCAGTTGAGTCTGAAAAGAA